CTTCTGAGTAATATAGTCTGTCATCCACACAGGTTCTTTGGATCCTCTTTGAGATCTTCTTAGAGGAATTGCAGTGTCAATGTTGTTTATGGGTGGTAAAGCCTGCTCAATATTGTCAGTTGGCATTACTGACTCATCTACTGTTGGAATGTTCTGTATATTCTTATTAAGGTCAGCTGATTCTGTAGATGCATGTATGTGTTGCAGGTTTATTCTCAAGAGTACCCCCTAAGGTTGAATTCTCCTATGAAAATTCATTGACAGGAGCTACTTCTGACATGGATCAACTGTAGAGATACTTCCCGGAGGAGATTCCAATATAGGTGAACATGCTGGTATTGAGCTCCCTGCTGGTAATTAATCATTATCATTTACAAGGAAGGGATCCATCGTTTGATTCATCTTTGTACCCTGTAGTTGAAATGGGAAAATATCTTCCCTAAATGTGACATCTCTGTTCACAAAGAACAGATGTTTCTCCAGACATATAGAATGTAACCTTTGGTTACACTAGAATACCCCATGAACACTGCTCTAGTTACTCTGCTTGCAAACTTGTCTCCCTTGGTAAGACAGCAGCAAATCATAGACATCCCAAAGTCTTCAAGTGGCTTATAGAAGTTTTTTTATGAAAGAACACCTCATAAGGGGATTTGCCTTCAAGAGCTACTGATGGTAATCTATTGATCACATAAGTTGCAGCTAGTATGCAGTGTCCCCAAAACCTGATAGGAATGTGACCTTGAAATCTGATTGATTTGGCAACTTCAAGGAGGTGCCTGTGCTTTCTCTCCACTACGCATTTTTGAGTTCAGAAACTCCCCTCCATTATCAGACCTTTCTGTCTGAACCATTGCACTAAACTGAGTTGCAACCATTTTAAGGAAACTTTTAAGGGCTATGATGGCATCAGATTTAAATTTCATCAGAAAAATCCATATCACACAAGAATAGTCATTTACAATTATTAAGAAGTACTTATTTCCATCAAAAGTTGGTGTATTATATGGTCCTGATGTTGGACGTATTTATGTATTTTTGAATATTACTTGATTTACATTTTTATTGATTTTGGGTTATATTTTATATAAATTATGTCCAATATTACTCAATTATGGAGGTTCTACTATTTATTTAATAATTGTTGAATTAAGACAAATATGGATTGAATTGGAAAAAAATATGCTAAAAGAGGAAGAAGAGGGAGGCATCACACGGAGAATCATTCAATTAGAAGGAAAGAAAAATGATTAGCATGGAGACATCGGAAAGCAACACGTGAAGGAGCACTTGGAAGGAATAGACATCAAATTGGAGTTTGTGCGTTTTGGGCAGTGACGCATGCTTTATCGCACTGAAAGCAAATTGAAGGCAAAATGTTTCTGCTTTCTGCGCCAAGGCCAGCGCTAGCCGCTGGTCTGGACGCTGGGTACGAGGTACTCTCCTATTTCGCTCGAGACAAGGTTATTTCGGTTCTACACAGTCCCAACTCGTATAAAAGAGGTCCTAAACCTATTTTGGAAGAAGAGAATATTTTTTAGAGTAACTTTCGACCAAGGGAGAGCAAGGAGCCGCCGTGGAGGCCGGAATTCATCAGATTTCATCTTTCTTCCATCAAACTTGGTAATTTTTATGTTTCTTTGGATGATTGGCTGTTTTGCTACCATGTCTATGTGGAGCTAAACTTCACGTTCTAGGGTTGTGGTTCTTTCATGACTATTATTATTCTGATATTGATTTTTCTTTCTTGATTGGTCGTATTGGTTTATTTATTCAATCTTGCGCTTAATTATTTAATTGCTTGATCACCAATTGAATACTATCTACGAATCTAGAATTGAACTCGAAAGTGGGAATTCTAGATTGCATGTAGGATTGAGTAGAGCAAGTTCTTGAATCCGGGCATCGGAGAATAGATTCGCGATTAGGATAGACATATACCTAATTGCCTTCCTTGGTTGATGTACAGGAATTATAAATGCGTTCTTATTGATTCTAACTCCATAGACATATAGGCGTTAGGTTAGCTTGAATAGGCAAGTTAGAACTCGAAAGATTCTTATGAGCAATATTAACCCTGTCAACCAATAAACTAGATAAATTAGTTAGTCAATTCAATTGAAGAATACAATAGAAATGTTAGATAGCCCATGAACCTAGATCGTTTTCATTACATTGATATCATAAAAATCTGTTTTTCCCTTGTTCAGAGTTCACCATTTATTTTTCTTTATTTTAATTAGTTTAGAATCAAGTATTTCTAGATTTAATTCTTGTTTAGATAATTAGGATAGTCTAACTTAGTTAATAGTTAATCAGAAGTCCTCGTGTGTTCGACATCCGACTTTTAGTCACTTTATTACTTGACGACCGCGTATACTTGCGTGTGCGTTAGGCCGCAAAAGGTCCCCAGACTTCCAAATGCAACAATTGAAACACCTTGTTTGATCTATTTGTACTTGGAGGAAAAGGTAACCTGTGGTGTTTGGCAAATGAACATACATCACAACTATCTATTATAGATTGGAATATTTCTAAGTCGTAACCTAGAAGTTTTTTCATAGCTCCTCCTGAAGCATGTGCCAACCTCTTGGGCCACACCATCACTTCTTCTTTATTTTCCTGTGCTGTTAGTCCTCTTGTTACTTCCCTTGATTCTGCTCCAGCTGCTTTATTTGTTTGTGATACCAGTAGATAAAGTCCATCTTTCTCTCTACCAATCCCCTTCACCTCCCCATTGAAGAGGTCCTGGAACAGACAAAAGTCAAGGTAGAATGCAACTAGACATTTAAGATCCCTTGTCACCTTAGACACCGACATAAGGTTGTATTAGAAATCAGGTAAAAATAGCACTTCTTTGATTTTCCCTGTTCCTGTGACTTTGCAATTCCCAATATGTGTCATATTTAGTACTTCCCCATTTGGTAAATTAACCTTCTTAGTGTCTTTAGTGTTAACTGCTTTAACATTATTCAACACTCTTAGATCAGCAACCATGTGATTGGTTGCTCCCGTGTCTATTATCCAGTGTGCCTTTGCTATATCAACAAGAAATGAGTAAGCATTACCTGCCATGATGGCTGTATTTTCCTGTTGTGGTTCTCGATTAATATTCAGACTCAACATCTTCATGATCTGATCATACTGCTCTGTAGCCAATTGTGGTGCTCTGGCCATTTCTCCTTTGTTAAATCCCTCAGGTTGACCAATGCCTCCTGTATTTCCAGCAATTACATTTGGGTGATTGTTTTCAGCACACGCATTATATGCATTGTTCATCATCATCATCATCTTCTTCCCTTTGAAACCTGCAGGATATCCAATAATTTTGTAGCATCCTTCCTTCGTGTGACCTTTCATCTTATCATAGTCACACTGCACATTCCAGTTCCTTTTTGGTCTCGGATAGTTCTGGTGTATATCACCTTTACTAGCCAAAAGAGCCGCAGAATCATTTGCATCCCTTGCTGTCATGATGTTGGCCACTGATCTTTGGCATTCTCTCTCAACCAGCATTGAATATGCCTTATTAATGCTTGGTGTAGGGCTAGTCATCAGAATTTGGATTTTAGCTTGTTCGTAGGTTTTATTCAATCCCATCAAAAACTATAAGACTTTCTGTTTTTGCATGAATTCAATGAAATTTTTAGACTTGGCGCAATCACATAGAGGTGGCACCATGTTATCAAACTCATCCCAGAGATTACGAAGTTTGGAGAAATATACTGATACACTATCAATTCCTTGAGTAATTGTAGCTATTGCCTTATGCAGCTGATACACTCGTGAAGTGTTTGCCTTATTAAATCGTTCCCTCAAATCTTCCCAAACAGCTCTAGCATTCTTCGCATACACAATCCCTGTTATCAATTCCTTCGATACTGAGCTCATGATCCATCCTAAAACGATGGCATTACTTCGGTCCCACTGGTGACCTAGTTCTACATCAAAATCCCTCTTTTTTAGAGTCAAATCGACTAACCCTAGCTTGTTCTTCCCAAGCAGCTGGATTTTCGTCACTCGACTCCAGGTGATGTAATTGTCAGAACCACTCAATTGGATCGATATTATCGGAGCTCCCGTCGTGTTTGAAGGATGAAGGAACAGTGGATGATTATGGTCCATATCTGTCTTTGCTGCCATTGTTGAATCTCAATTTTATAGCTCACCTCTTAACTGAATCATTGAACTAACAGAGTCTCCCAGAAACAATGTCGTGCACTCGCAATCGCGATTAATTTCTCTGATACCATGTTGATTTTGGGGGTAATTGATGAACCCTAATCAGCAGAGGAGACTGTGGTATTGAATGTCTTTGAGAGGGAAATATTGAAAGAGAGAAATGAAATAAAATTTTTACTTGTATGTCTGTACAATGTATTCAAATACATATATAGATGATGTATCAACTAATTAACTAACCACCTAAACTACCTGACTAACTACATAATTGATTCTACACAACTATATACATCTTTACTATCATATTGTATTCTCATTAAATAATTCCTTTATTCTGATTTAGTCCATCATAAATTAAAAATGAACCATCAAGATATAATATACACATCAAAATCCATTTTTTGTGAGATAACTCAAACTCATTTATTTTTGTGCGTTATTAATTAGAAACTTCCTCCGGTCCACAATTAGTGATCAATTTGCCTTTTTATTTTGATCCAAAATAAGTGTCCATTTATATAATCAAGAAAAAATTTAAGTTTTTTTTTCCCCAAAATTACCCTTATGTACGTATACCTAAAGGTCTTTTACTCCTCACATTAAATTATGCTGCAATATTTAATTAAGGGTAGTTTAATCACACTAACTAATTTTGTCTAGAATTTAGTATTTTTTTTAATGGGTGTGTCCAAGGTAAATTGATCACTTATTAGAGGAAGTAGCTTTTTGAATTGGATCATTAAAGTTTTTATGATGACAAATGTACGCCATGCAATTGTTATATATACACATATATGTGTCGCCCAAGAAACCTACCATTTTCTTCTCCTTTTTATCATCCATCAAAATTCATCCTCCCTATTTCCTCTAGTTCCTTTCTTCTACTTCTTCCTCTCCCCAAAATCACTAATTTTACTATAAAATTAGTTCGGTGATTAAAAAAATAGTCTCTATTGAGGTGTTTGGGGTGATCAAGAATATTGAAGAAAATGGGGAATGATTTGTTGGCATTTGTAGTAATGGTGATTGTGCAATTAGCGTTTGCTGGAATGATTATAATAACAAAGCTAGTTATGGACGGTGGCATGAATCCTTTCGTTCAGTCAGCATACAGACCTATTTTTGCCACCATCTCCATTGCTCCCTTTGCTTTCTTCTTGGAGAGGTATCCCTTCTTGTTACCTACAACTTTAAACTTCTTTTTTTTTTTATTTTTAAATTTTTATTACATATGTGGAAAAGAAAGAGGAAGCTGGAGAAAGATGACAATGAGAAACTCTTACTAATACTAGTAATTAAACTATGAGTTGCCGTGAATATTATCAATTAGTAAAATGACTTTTTCATCCTATTTCTGACCAAGACATAAATAATCAATGAAAAATTCCCTTTTTTAATCCTACTCACGCGAACCATTCCTTGGATTAATTTTGGCTCAATTGTAGTTTAAAAAATATCTGACATGCATAAAGCATGAACATTTGTCGAAATGCACAATTGAAGTACGTACTATAACAAAAAAGACTTATTTAGTCAATCATTTATTCAGTTCCGAGAATTGTTTCTTGGATGACGATTAAATTAAATTAGTGCTCTAAAAAGACAGCAGCTTTTGCTTTTTCTCTTTTTTTTTTCTTTTCTGTTTTCTTGTTGATCAGCAATTCATTTTCTAGTGGCATTCTTTCTGTTATTTCTGTCCCTTTCTTTGTCCCCATACGTTCAGCGGCTGCATATTTATTTAGTGGATGCTCATGTTACATTCATTTATCATATTTTTACGATGTGTCTTTTTTTAGGTTCTATGTTGATTTATTTGACACCATTTTTTGGTCTTTTAAAAAAGATTGACATATTTTATATTGAAAAACTAATTACCTTTTGCATTATCATTTCCTACTAAATGATTATTATAGGTCCGTTGGATTCAAAGCAAATTGTTTGGTGCAGGGTATTTTTAGTTGTATTTAATTTATTCATAGGATTTTTTTAATTTTATAAACTTCGAATTGAATTAAACTTTGCCAAACAATATGGGAAGAATGAAGCTCTTTTCATGAAAGTTGAACAAACACATCTATCTGATAGACTTTCATTAATGCCATTACACTAAATTCTTCTATTGATTTCGACCTTTGAGCATGCGTATTTCTCTTCTTGTTAATTTTGTTTCGTAATTAGTTGCAGTACTAAACTTGATGAGCTCACGTGACTAACGTTATGGGCAAAGGAAATACACATATTAAAGCTAAGTGGACGTTAAGATACGAGATCATTTCTCGATGAAATGAACGTTCATTTTTCATTTCTTGGCAAATTATATTGATGTCTATACCTTATTTGTCCCTCCAATTGGAGATAACATAATATTCTATTATTGTCTCTTGTTTCATTTTTTTTGTTTACCTTTTTTTTTGTTGTAATTATTTTATCTCTTCATCTTGACAGGAAATCAAGACCCAAATTGACTCGCTCTATTCTTTTCCAAATATTTTTGTGTTCTATTTTCGGGTAAGCATTTTTTTTTTAAGTTGAAAAACATATATAACTGCATTCAACCAAAGTTTTCTTTTAGATAAAGAACTGTATAATTCTGTTGTTTTGCTCCTTTGTTTTTGCTCTGTTTGTTTTCATTATTAGAAGAATACGTCATTACATGATTGAGTTACACAAGGGGAAACTGAGAAACGCATTATTTTCTCCATAATTCAGTACTAGTATGATTTATAATTTACGCAAAGGCAACTTTTATATTAAACTCAAACAAGCGAAATTAAATTTATATATATTCTGATAATGTGAAGCGGTCTGTTCGATTTTCAAATTTGCTAAGGGTCTACATAAATGTAAATATGCAATATCTCATGTGGCAAATTGTGTGTCATCATTCATCTAGGGCTAAGATCAGCCAACTCTGGATATTTACTAGTCCATATAGTGTTAGGTTTGGCTATAAATCTCATGATTCTCGTCCTTTAATTAACAAAAGGCCCGTTCACCTATTATTGTTATAATAAAATATAATATAGACTGTAGTACTTAATTTAGTTAGGATTGCGACGGACTTAAATAAAGTGATATGAACAATGAAAATCATATAACTGACTTCAACTTATAAAAAAATATTGAGCCGTAATGGTTGTAATTATACTGTCCTATTCTTGCTTGCTTTTAAATTTTTTTTTTTTTACCGTGCCATAATATGCAGGATCACAGTGAACCAATATGTATATTTCATAGGGTTAAAGAATTCAACTCCAACAGTTGTTTCCGCAATTGATAATCTAATCCCAGCTTTCACGTTTCTCATAGCCGTACCCATGGGGTAATTTCTATACAACTTTAAGTACAATTCAAAAGTAAATATATATCAAATTGGAACAAGATAAATTAATACCTGTAAATTAAACCTTTGTGTCAGGGCTGAAAAATTGGGGTTGAGAAATATAGCAGGACAAGCCAAGTTATTGGGGACGATAATATGTGTGGGAGGTGCTATGGTATTGTCATTATATCATGGCAAAGTGGTGATTGGTCAATTAGGGTTTCACTGGAAATATGCAGAAAGTACGGGCAAAGATGTTAATTCTTCTGGCCATGGCAACTTTTTTACTGGACCTTTTCTAGTCATAATGAGCAGTCTCACTTATGCTATTTGGTTAATCATTCAGGTAATACTCATCTTCTAAAAATTGTAAATTTTTACCCCTAGCTATTGAAGTTCTAAAAAGGCGGCCCGGTGCACTAAACTCCTGTTATGTGCGGAGTTTAGTGAAGGGCCGGACCATAAGGGTTTATTGTACGTAGCCTTACCCTGTATTTCTGCAAAAGGTTGTTTCCACGGCTTGAACTCGTGACCTCCTGGTCACATGACATGGCATGACAATAACTTTTACCCGTTACGCCAGACTCCCTTTTAACTGGTGAAGTTTTATATATCTTATTTTCTTATTGTTGCAAAAGAAAAAGTGCAAGTTCTTACTTTTCCCTATTTGTTTCTTTTTGTGGCTTAATTAGGGAAAGGTAAACGAGAAGTATGCAGCTCCATATACATGCATAACGTTGATGTGCTTAATGGCAAGTGTGGAGAGCGTGATTATTGGCTTTTGCGTCGTCCCAAAACTTTCTGAATGGGCTTTAAACCCCATTAGAGCTATCTCAGTTGTTTATAACGTATGAATTCTTATCCACTTTATAAATAATTCTTAACTTTATAAACAAAGGCGAATCCAGGATTTTAATTTTATGGGTTCAGCATTTACGGTTCTTAGTATTGAACCTATTATATTTTTAAAGTTATGGGTTCAGACCCACTATATGTTGCAATTTTGGTGAATTTATACACTAAATTTATACTCCGTGTCGAAAATAGTGGGTTCAGATGAACTCGGTACTATAACACTACATACGCCTCTGTTTATAAATACTATCAGTGCAAATTTTAACCTTTATATACTAAGCCAATGCCTTATTTTCGAAGTCTCTTTAAAAAAAAATTCATCATTGTTGAATTAAAGAAAGACTAGAAAGTATCCTATTTAATGTGTTTATGGTAATGAGTTTCATGGATTTTGACTACAGGGAGTTGTGTGTACGTCATTTGCATATTTTCTGAGCTCGTGGTGCATCGAAAGAAAAGGTCCTTTATATGTCTCGATGTTCAACCCATTGCTGTTGGTTATTTCTGCATTTCTCAGTTGGACTTTGCTTCGTGAGAAATTGTACCTTGGAGTGTAAGCAAACCCAAATCCTTTTCTTTCATATCCCAAGCTATTTATTTCTTAAAATATTTCTCATTTCTTTGTTCATTTGATAAGCTCATTTATGTATTTCTATTTATCAGAGTTGTAGGGTCTATCATAATTGTGGTTGGGCTTTACGGCTTTCTCTGGGGACAAAAAATGGAGACAAGTACAGACGACGATATTGAGGTGATGATAAATAAAGAGAAGAATCAGTCCACTAAATTTGATTTGGAATTGCAATTACCTCAAAATCCCAGCTTCAACGGTCATCCTTCAGCTGCCAAAACTGAACTATGACGGGGCAAATATGTATTTATTACTACAACTATTGGACTTATAATATGAAATTAATCTCTTGCAATTTGTGCATAAGATTATTTATATCTTACAATATATGAAAACCATTTACCTTTCACATGTGGAGTATTTGAGACAATTACACCTAAGTAAGATATTTTTAAAATTGAACTCGAGATCTATAATTAAATGAAGAACACACCTATTACTTGTCTATTTTATTTTGACACCAAAACGTTGGTATTCTCTGTTAAATGAAACTTTATATCTATCTCCAATAATTCTAAATATTCTTCATTATCCAATTAATTTATAAGATATACTTACTTTATATTCCTTCATCGTTCATTCCCAATAAATTTGCTATATTTTTATTTTTTAATTTACTTATGAGTTTGCTAAGTTTATTATTCAGCATATGAAGACAATGACACAATTTTAATAAGGTTAAATTATATTATATATATATATATATATATATATATATATATATATATATATATATATATATATATAATCATGAATACAATGTCGGTTTACAAAAGTAACCTTATAATATTAAGTGTATTGGTGGTGAAAAAAGCTACACGTGAAATATTAAACTGCTGACATATCATAACACGTAAAAGCAATAATATAGCAACACGCGGCAGTCTTATTTGATAGAATAAGAAAAGGCACGGGAGGGAAACACCCACGAGAGAGTACCGAGCCTAACAACATAGGGCTAAAGAGAGAGCCAAAAAAGGATCTTTCGTGTATAATCCTGCATAATCTCGAATGTTATCAGTTCCGGTACGTAGACCAAATAATACAATGCAAGCAAAAGTTCCACTGGCAAAGACTGAATCAAGACAGTAAAGAGGGAAGATTCATGAACCTTCAATTAATGAGGAGGGAAATCAGAATCGTTACGAAATTCTCGTGGACAGTTACGATTACCAATTATAACGGATCATTAATACCATTAAAGCTCGTAATGATTTAGCCATAAATGGAAGGAAACGTTATATGTGTAAACCTCTATATAAGAGGAGAGAATTTCACTTGTAAGGACATCTGAGACAATATTGGAATATATTCATTTACTTTTCTGCTTTTCTCGAAATTCACTATATTGACTTTGCAATCAATTATTTTCTTATTTATTCTTGTTATTTTCCTTTGACACCACTGAGAAAGTGAGGCAAAACTTGGTTATCAGAAGCCTGCTTTCTTCTAAAATTAATCTTTGACCGAAAGATATATTTTTGGTTAAACAAATTGGTTCCGTTACTAGGAATCTGATAATCTTTTCACTTTTCAAATTCATTTTTCTGTCAAACAACCATGTCGACTGCCAATGACAACAACCAACAGAACCAACAGAATCAACAAGAGGGTGGAACTCCAATCCCTTCACCCCAACATTCTCCCCAACACTCCCGAGAGGGGTCACCTCAAAGATAAACATCACATACGAAAAATGAACAAGGGGACGATCAAACTGCTGAAGACGCATTAAAATAGCTAATTGCAGAACACGTCAACAATGCCTTTGAAGCTTTCGTTAGTGGATTGCCAACTGTACCACCAACTCCACCTCCAAACAACACTGCAACCACTGAAAACCCATGCTCGGGACTTGCTAATTCAGGCAGCGGAGGAACTCCCAGCGAATCTTGCGATGGAAGGTCAGGTACCCTAAATAATTCTGATTTAAAAAGTTTAGTACTAACTTTGCAGAAGCAGATCAAGGAGCAGAATGATCGCATAAAACAAATACCTGGTGTGCCACCCGTGATTAAAGGAGGGGATATTGACAAATATTCACAACAGCCCTAGAAGCCAAGTGCCGCCCCCTTGCCGATTCAAAAAAAGTTTAAGATGCCCGATATTCCGAAGTATGATGGAACAACTGACCCACAAGATCATGTAACTGCGTTTACAACTGGCGTAAAAGGCAATGATTTAACCAAGCAAGAAATTGAGTCGGTGTTGGTCAAAAAATTTGGCGAAACACTCACAAAAGGAGCACTAACATGGTATTCTCTTTTACCGGAAAATTCTATTGATTCTTTTGTTGAGCTTGCAGATTTATTTATGAAAGCACACTCGAGAACCCAAAAAGTTTAAAAGAGGATGGAACACATCTTCAAAATAAAACATGAAGATACAGAACTACTCAGGGAATTTGTGGATAAATTTCAGCGTGAAAGAATGATGTTACCGCGTGTACCTGATAACTGGGCGGCCATGGCGTTTGCAAGTAACTTAAATGAAAAAAGCTCAGAAGCCACGAGGAGGCTCAAAGAAAGCTTACGAGAATTCCCTGCTACAACTTGGAATGATGTTTACAACAGGTATAGTACGAAGCTGCGATAGAGGAAGACACTATCACTCAGTCACGGGGAGATGAAAGAACAAGTTGGAGGCGACCAGAAACTGAAAAAGGTGCGGTAAGAACAGGTACGGACCTTACATGGGACCAGCAGGACCGGATTCACGTTCTAAACAAGAAAATTCGAGGTACGGTTCTAGATCAAGAGACAGAGATGCGGGTTCATCATCCAAGTTTGGGAAAGAGCGAGATACGCGGGATAGCAGTGTTAATACGAAGGCAAAGATTGGTGATTACAGTTTCAATGTTAGCACTTCTGAGTTGGTAGCTGTTTTAAGAAGTATGGGAGATAAGGTGCAGTGGCCAAAAGAAATGAGGTCGAACCCTAGCAGAAGAAATCCAGATTTCTGGTGCGAGTTTCATAACGAGCACAGACATAAAACAGCAGATTGCATATTGCTACAAGGTGAAATAGAGCATTTGTTAAAACAAGGTTATTTAACCGATTTGTTTAGTGAGAAAGGTGTTGATACCCAATTTTTCCCTATATTTTTTTAATATGCAAAATACCTTCAAAATAGCATGTATATGCATATATAAGTATGTCCCAATGTTTTATTATTTTCCCTAATTTTTAAAAGATTTTTAAATCAATTTATTGCCTTATTTTATCAAGAAAAACTCAATAATTATTTCCAAAATTATCATTTTGGTTATTCATTTATTGGATTCTCATATTTACACTAAAATATAGCTAACATAATTTTTGCGCATTTTTTACAAATTTATTTAGTATTTTAAAAGCTAATTGCATATAATTGCAATATTAGCCTCTTTTAAGGTTTAATTGTGTTTATAATTATAAAATTGACTCCAGTATTTTTAATTTGATAATTATGTATTACTAATCATTTCAGTACCTTTAATTTATTTTTAGAAATTATTTTACTATTTTTATAAAATAAACAAGGGAAAATGGCTATTTAAATATTAGCCCATTTTCATTTCAACTTTTAGCCTGATTTGGCACCCCAATTAGACCCAATCCTAAAACCCAGTTACCCAGCCCAAATCCTAATATACCCGACCCACGAACCTTTTGAAATAACCAGCCCGGATCCCCATTCAATCCAGGCCGTTAATCAAAATGATCAACGGCCACCTTTTAACCTAATTTCTTCTTAATTCCCCATTACCCCCCAAACCCTAATCACTTCTCACCGATAGCCGCCCTTAATTCCCCCTTTCTCCCAAACTCTCTCTCAAACCTAGCCGCCGCCTTCTAACACCACCCTAAAATCGCCTGAATCAATGGCTTCCAAAGCCATTAAAGGCCTGTATTTGCCTCCTGTGACTCCTACATGCTCGATTATTATGGTTTCAAGAAAAGCCAAGACTCAAGCTTGGTCCAGACCTCGGATGCTTTCAGTTCTATGGCTGTTTCCGGCCATCTTTGACCTTGTTCCGGCCAGCCATGGCTATTCAAGCCTGACTCTTGGCTTTTCCTGCTCAGATCAATGACCTTCCAAGCCTTTCTCACCATCTAGGTTCTTCTGAAACCCTAACCTTCGAGGTTCTTCTGATTCTTTTAGATCCGTTGTAGATCTGCGTTTTCTCTAAGCTTTTAAACGTTTTCTCAAAGTTTCTTTCAAAACTTTACCTTCAGAACCTTTATCTTTTCCGATTTAGGGTTTTGTTAAGTTATTTAGAAGTTTCTCTAATCTTTAGCATGTTCTACTGTGTTTCTTTATGTTGTTCTTCTACTGGAGTGTGCATGTTAAAATCTTAATTCTTTCTTAAGGTTTCTGATTTTATTTTTCTTTGTTGATATTTTTGCCTGATTCTTTTGTCTTTCATCCCTATACTCGATTGATGGTAGAACCCTAAATTGGGGTTCATTCGAGTTTTGAGACTATTTGCTATGTGATTTGCTTGTTCCTCATCTCTGAACTTGTTGGTTTCGAACCTATTNTAATAACATGAAACAAGAAAGAACTGAGAACCCTAATAGAAAACTAAAAGATAGGAAATCTTACTTAATAAATTTTATTCTGATGAAATCACACTAACACATAGCTAACCAAGATCACAACAGACTAATAACCAGGCACAAAATCAAAACAAACATTAACGGAAATTAAATGCGTATCGGAGTAGAGGTTTAACAAGTATGAGAACAAGAAACAAACTAAACAAAATAAAGAAAGGAGAACCAAACTTAACTGACGCTCGAGACTCTGCCACTCTCCGATCTGACGTTTGAACCAATCCGGTGACATTCGACCACCACTGACACTGAATTCCTCATGAGGAAGACGAAAGGATCGCGTAGTATTAATTTGGAGAGGTTTGGGGCAATTAGGGTTTTGTCCGGAAACTTTGAATCCATATTCGAGAAGTTCCGGCCATTTTTGAGGATCAGGGCCTTGGGGGTTTGATAGAGGAGGTCGTGGTGGTCTTATGGTGTAAATTTGGTGGGGTTTGGTAAAGGTGGTATCCTGGCCGAAAATTTCGATCTAATATTCGAGCATTTTGGTTACGATTTGAGGGAAACTAGGTTGGGGGTTGGAAAGAGGAGGATGAGAGGATTGAGGGGTGTAATTTTTGAGCGATTTGGAGCTTCGCCGCCGCCGGCGGCGATTTCCGACCGGCGGCGGACGGTGGCAAGAGGGTGGAGATACGGCGGGGTACGGTGAGGTACGGTGGGGTACGGTGGTGGTGTTACAGTTGTACGAGGAAGATGATAAGTGTTCTTGAGTTCATACAATTTTTCGGACACTTTTATTAAACCCCTTGGA